AAATATACGTGAGTATCCATTCCCTTGATGCGCATGAGCGTACGGAGCTAATCTGGCGGGACACAGACGCAATATCTGAGTATAACTGCGTCGTCGAACTACTTCGTAGCAGCCAGCACGAATATCAAGGCAGATTTAACTTTATGGCCAAATCGTCTGTGGATAAGGTCAGTGCTTTGTTTGTTAAACGATCTCTTCTCAGACTAACTTTAGCGTATCTGCAGTGCTCGTAATGCGCATGCTCTCACAGCCTTGCTTCTCCTCGTGGCCTTCACGGGTACCGTACTACATCTCATTCATAGGCAGCAACGCAAGCGTCTATATCTAGCCTCAAGACCTGGCTCCTTCGCACACTATATGAGTCTCCTTCCCGACGTCCCTCCAGGCAGATCCCAGAATGCGCCATCCAAAGAGACTCCATCACTCAGCCCATACGACTCAAAGCGCGCCATGCGCAAGAAGTTGAATGGCCTTGAATTCATGATGGACCAAAGAGGCAAGATCGTTCCTGTGATTCCGATGCAGAACATGCAACCTGCGACGCCAGGTCCCGCTGGGACGAGTCGTGACCCTTTGTATACGCCGTCGGAGGATCCAGAGAAAGCTTTGCTCGATGATGGAGTGGAACCATTTACGGACTATCCTTCAAGACCTGGACCCTCATCATGATACCCTTGTTATGTATTACGTTTGTTCTTCTTCCTGTTGCATCCTTGGTATGCACTTCATGACGATATTTGGTCACGCTTGGACATTTTTAACTGTATACGAACATTATCCATACGCATTATTTAGTGATTAACGAGCTTCACGTACCTAATATATTTGATCTCTGGTGGAGGCAAGAAATTTTAATTTAATTAGAAAAAGAAAGTTAATAGTGTGACGTGTGACATCGCGATGTGACACTGGACCCACGTTACTCTCCCTTTTGCTATGCCGCCTCGCGCTCCCTTCGACCCGACTAACCTCGACGATGACTGGAATAATGATAATGTCTTCGACGACATTCGACCTATGGAGATTCCAGACCGATTCCTCAATCAAACAGGCGGAGCTTCGTCGTCGAGATCAGGACAGACTGCGAGCGTGTTTGGACAACCACAGTTCGGGCTCGATGGCGTGCAGAACGCGCCTGTCGTAGAAGAAATGGATTGGGAAGAAGAGGATAGGCAGGATCCTATTATTTCTGACCTGATACGTATATGGACAAACGAGAGATTAGCTCCTGATATCTTGGACCAGAAAGGAGAGCTCATTCAGAAAGTGCTCGATCGGGTGCGAGAACAGGTATGAGGCGTTCAGAGGGTCATTAGATGGATCTGATTGTCTTACATTCAGGCAGATATGGTTCATCAACTGCGGTTAGATCCTGATTCCAGCGAGGATGTGCATTTTCAGATCATACTGGTTCAGACCGAAGTGGAACGAATGCGGTTCATCGTACGATCTTACATGCGAACGCGAATACATAAAGTGTGTTCAGTCATATTAGGCTCTCTATCTTTGGTATTCTGATCATGCCGCTTCTTTCTAGATTGAAAAGTATGCGCATTATATCCTACGAGAACCTGAAGTGCAGACACGGTTATCCACAATAGAGCTCAGGCACGCAGAATCGTCAGTACGATCTCTTATGAGCTCGGTGTTATATTGACATGTACCAGCTATGCAGCTCTGATCGATTCCCAGTATGACGTTCTAGTCCTTAATGCCATGCCAGCCTGGATACGACGGGAGGGTGCCAACTGGCAAGGGCCTAGCACAAGTAAGTGGACAGTACGCTGCTACCCACCATATTTGGTCTTACTCGTCCTCAGTATCAAAACCCGATAAAGAAACTGCGCTATTTGTGCGCGCAGTCCAAGACTGTAATCACGTCCTGTTACAAGAGTAAGGGTATTCATCAGCCGCTTTCCATACTCGTACTCATAGTTGGTTCCACAGCGGAAGACCTGTAGATATCCCAAAGGGCTCTACAGTCCTTATCCGGTATTCGTCAATAGAAAATCATTTAAGAAGAGGGGAAGTCGAACTTGTGTAGCGATATAATCTTGTATGATTCGGGGTTTGTTATATCTAGCTGTTAGGATTTTATGTATTTTTTGACATTATTCATTGTTATTTGTCTGGTTAATTGGTAACGGTTGACTTACAATACTTACTACGAACTCTCCACTGATAAGATGGATAAAGGTAAATGCTGTGTGTGCGCGCCTGCCTGCCTGACTTGCACTTCTCCTTGCCAGGTGGCATGCGATTATTGGTATACTTATCTTGCTCTGTCTCGCTTTCAAACGGGAACGATTTGGACGTTACTATTCTGTTGAATGACAAGCAATCTGTCCGACATTAGACCGTCGACCCTGGCGCGACGGTCCAACGCTTCCCCGCTCGAGCTGCGTGGGCCTGGGCCACATCCGATACTGCTGATGTTCTTCGGAATCTAAAGTGTACAAGGGTGATGTCAGAGTTGGGATCATAGATGACGTAGGTATTCAGGCTTTCACAACCGCCAAGGCCTTCAGCTTCAGTGGCACAAGTTGTACAGATGAGTGTACCAAGTCAGGGTACTTATCAGATGTACTTATTGCGAAGCTAAGATCATATCATGCAAACAGTGGATCGTTCCTTGAAGATATCATATATCATAAGGTATGTTCTATGACGACGTCGTGTCCAGATGTCGATAGCTTGACCGGTCGTTGACAGATCCCACACGGGGCGCGTCAATTCGTGTTATCTCAATCCTGCACCCTACCTGGGAAGACCGGCATATCTTATTCTTATTGCCACTATTCCTCGTAGCTTTCGAAGGTGGGAGAGACCTCAATAAGGACGGGTTCGGATGAAACGGAGGTATGTAAGGTTTCAAGCCTACTTCTTGCAATATAAGGCCATGACATCCAAATTCAGGTCCTGCATGCTCTTCGTCTATTCGGATCATTCATGGAACTGGTTGAGAAGGTCCTACTTATCTGCCCTGGCAAGGTACATAGACTGACCATCGTGGATCTACCTGAATCTACCCATACTTAATCATGGTTCCAATGCCATCTTCAAAGTTTAACTAACTCTATTAGGACTATAGAAGAATAAAAGAGTTATCGGCTGCGTTCGTGGTTTCGTGGTTTCGCAACGAAATGTCTCCTGATTTAAGGTATGTAAAGGAAGCTGTAAGGAATATTTTCATGTAAATCCTTTTTGCGATCTTCTCTGATTTTCAGTGCAGGCCGTTTCGGGGATTATAAGTGTACCTTAGTGGCCAACTCATATCGAAACCATCTCACATTATGGACCGATATTTACAAAGTTCTATCCCATCCACAATAAGAATTCAAACCACGGCCAGCCTCTGGAAATCTCGCAGAGGTATCTACGAATTCTCAAAAAAATTCAACCCTGACAACATCTCATTAACGAGAACGGTCTGCATGCTATCTCCATCGCTCATCCCACGTTGTGGCGTCATTTGCGCACTTCTCTTCGTACACGATCTCATCATATTGCGGCATTTATTGGAGTTGTAGCAAATTCGAAGCTGCCAGCTTTCAGGTCATCAAAATGTTCAAGACTACCACTCCATAGGTTCATTCATTTTTATCGATATCGCTCACCGGGAACATGGCAAGGAAACGGATGCAGCTCGATGGAGGCATGCGCGGACTATTGCCAACGCGTGTCTATGACTTCCATTGGAGTATAATTTCAATTATCTGGGTCACAGGTACGTTAAATATGAGCAGGGACTAGCAATGCCAGGTAATTTCGAACTTCGACGTGACTTTTCCCATACGCCAGACGACCTTCTTTCATGGCCGAGACCACAAAAGTTCAGGAACAGCAATAATTTCTTTCGGTCATTAATAAAATATATTTAATTCAACGATTCAAATATTCTCCCCATACGGATTGTGAATTGGATGTAAAATGGGGGAGATTTGCTAGGGAGGTCAGCTTTAAAGAGCTAATTTCGAAATTCTATTCAGGATACTTTGTTTGTACGTACAATAGATTAATTTCCAGCTTTCTGTTATGGTCAATATTGAGGTATACGAATTTCTGTGCCCTCCCCTTGGCCTTAAAGATTCCTCTATCAAAATCGGCTTACATAATGGGGCCGGACACGTCTGGGGGGTAAATTAGGTCTCAAGGACCTTCGAGAACACATTATTAGAGCTCTTGAGTGTATATATATAGTTAATAGTATATAAAATTTTAATCGATTTTTGGGGCTCAGAGGATATTGCGGGGAGCATTCAGACACACAAAGGACGATTTGTCATTAGTTATTAGTCGGCGCCTAAATCAGCTGTCACTCGGAGCGACCACTGCCTGGTCCCCATGATGAGTGCCAAAAGATTGCACATATACTACTTGTCTGCAGGGCACAATAATGCATATATGGCATTCGATATATTGATACTTCCTGGGGAATATTGTGTGTTATCCAATATGGATACTTGAACACTTTAATAACGGGACACCTCTGCATTAGTTGTAAAGTCAAGTTAGAGTACTCAACCCTCTCAGAAAGGCGGCAATGCACATTTAAATAGGGAATATCCCTTGACGTCGTTGCTGAGCTCCATCTAGTTTCTTCCTTGTCAAATACAGTATTTATGTCTTGATTTATAAACATTGGACATGTATTGTCTAACTGCATTCCTATCTCTATTGGCCCAGCTTTCTTCAAGCCGGAATGAATAATCTTGATCAACCTAATGAAATCTACCTATTTCGTCTATTATCTTTTCCGCTCCGAATATCATCACACATACAAGATAGACAACGTTTAAGGAATTCTTGACCCCATTAGTTCCATTGGTTTGTCACTCGTCAAGTACGAAGTAGGTCAGACCGAGGCTGTTTCAAAGGAACAGAAGTTGTACTGAGGCAAGTAGAGCGCGATTTACATTCAAATAAGATAAAAGGTATCGTTACCTAAGTATCCAGGAGAATAACCTGAACTAAACCATATGTGATGAGATCAAAAAGGACGACGATGGCAGGATTCGAACCTACGCCCTCAAAGAGGAATTGATTTCTAATCAATCGCCGTAACCGCTTGGCTACATCGTCAGATACGCCAATAATCTTTTAATACCTACATCTCATTGCGTAACAATATTTGCTTACTAAACCTTTGGTATTTTTCAATCGGATATCACATCATATCTGAATCCAGGTTGTCGTACGCCCATGTTCTCGATTCTCTCTATCACTATATTTCAAGACGAATAATGAATCACTGTGGTGCAATTTTGCTGCAGCCTGTATGCATGTTCTAAAACGGCGTAGGCACCTGCTAGGGGCTCGGAATTCCATCTGAGAATAGCCATAGTGCGCCATGATCACTTCACATGAGATCATACTCTCTATCTAGCTGAGTAATTGCTCTCTCAGGGAGACCGCCCATGTATAAAAAGCCCGTAAGCTTTGACCCATCTATTCCATTCTCGAACTCCAAGGATGTCTACCCCAAAGTTCTTAGCCCTCACTATCAAGGAGCCAAAGCAAAAAACTCCCCTCACTCTCGAAAGTTATGAGGAGCCTGATCTAGGCTCAGGTGAATTCCTAGTTCAGAATGTTGCTGTAGCCCAGGTAAGTAACTCCATTCAGTATTATGGAGCCATAGTAACCATTATATGATATCCTCTAGAATCCCGTTGACTGGAAGCAGCTCGACTGGGACTATGGCGTCCCATCCTATCCCTGGACAAATGGTGGCGACTTGGCTGGACGTGTGTACAAGATTGGGCCGGATGTTACGAAATTCAAACCAGGAGATCGCGTAAGTAACGAACTATACTTTTTTCCCATGTCTTTCCTGATCTTTTGAAATAGGTTATCGCCTTCGCTAGTCGAAAAACCCCTCGTCATAGTGCTTATCAGACTTATACGGTTGCTCTTGAGAACCGCACCGTGAAGGTATCCTTTAGAATTAAGATATATTTCTGTCGAAATTTTATATTTACACCATTAATAGCTTCCGGAATCGGTCTCTTTTGAAGCTGGATCGACAATTCCTCTAGCTTATACGACTGCAGGCGCAGGCTTTATTGACGCACTGGAACTTCCTTTCCCCTCTCTTGATGGACCTCTCCCTGCCAAACCCAATGGTGAACCTATTCTTGTTTGGGGAGGATCCAGCTCTGTTGGACTTTATGGTAAGCTATCTTTTCCAACCTACATGTAAAAACATCCCATATCTACTACTTACCATGATTCTGCAGCTGTTCAGATTGCGAAATTGGCGGGCTTTACCGTCATCGCCACAGCTTCCCCTCGTAACTTCGATTATGTGAAATCGGCTGGTGCTGACCATGTCTTCGATTACAACGACTGTAGGTATCAATTCATCTATTTGACTTGAGTGTTCCTTATTATTTCCATTAGCGGATGTTGTAGAAAAGATACGGGCTGCTGCAGGTAACAATTTATCCAGAGTCTACGAGTGAGTCTACTCTTTTTGATATAGAATTCTAATTGAGAAAATACTGTAGTTCAATTTCAGAAAATGGATCGATCGAAAATGCCGTGAAGAGTATCACTGCACCTTCTGGGAGAGTCGCCGTCATTCTTCCTCCCAAACCGGATGCATCGACATCGACAGTTAAGGTGATCCAGACCGGCGCTATCAAAGCATCCCAGAATCCAGATATTGGAAAGGCTGTGTATGGGCTGCTTGAGGCTGCATTGGCCAAAGGCATCTTCGTTACCAACAAAGTAAAGGTGATCCCCAATGGACTACTTGGTGTCAATGCCGGATTTGAGTTAGGCAGAACTCATAAGGTGACGTTATAGATTTGAAGTATCTTTCAAGTTTCTATTTAAACTGAACATTCAACTTAATAGGTCTCTGGCGAGAAACTCGTATATCGGATTGCAGAGACTCCAGGCCTTAACTAGGCCCCAGGGTTGCAGATGGGAGGTTATGGTATATATGTACAATAGCAAGTGTAGTGTTCGAATGGAAGTTACGTATTAACTTGTAATCCGCCTATAACCAACTCCTTCCTATCGGGCATTCTAGGAAGAAGTTGATTGCAGAAATCGAATAAGAGAACGCTTTCATGGTTTCCAGAAAATCTTCAGTCACCATATTCTTCGCTGGTGGCATTCGTCGTCCTTTGTGACGGATAGATTTCCACTTCGAAAAACTGCTCGACACCAGTAACATTTGTAAACGCCATTGGCGGTATACCCGCTTCAACCGCGTGTTTTCGGAACGTCAAGACCATCCTGCACACCAAAAGTATGGTAACTGCCTGACTAAGGCTGCGAAAATGCTTAGGAACGAGATAGAAGTGGGAGAAATATGGAGCATACTTACGACAACCCGAGTGTCTTTGTAGGCGGTGGAGAAGCGAACTGTTCTTAAGTTAGCAAATTACCCTCAGTAATTAAAGTATGGTTTAACTACCACAAACAGAAACATGTTCGTAAAATGACTGACGCAGATCAAAGCAAAGTATTGACTTCCTTGATCCAGAAAGCTCTCCATTAAACGCACTCTATAATGAAGCTGCATAAGTATTATCGCTTTACGTTATAGTCACTATAAAATTGTGACGTACTTTTTGTGTTTCATACACCTTAGGAGAGTACAGCAATAAATGACGATATCTCCGAGAAACGGACCTATGAAGAAGGCAACTACGTTATAGCAATAGTCATCATGCCAGAACAAGACAGGAGGTTCACGAAAGAAATTACCACTTATGCGAATACATATGGGTCTGGTAGCTGACAGATAACATTCTAAATACTTGCTTAATGGTGTCATGAAATATAATGACAGTAAACTGCATACCGGTTGTGAACCGAGATGCTGGAGAAGCTTCGAATCGTCCACTCATATGTAAACAATGGAATAGAAGAATGTTATTTCAATGCTCACCATATATACACTGCAAAACCACTATTAATATTCCAACTTCAAAAAGGGGAATGAAGAGTAAACCAAGTAGATAAAGCAGTTTACGACCATATAATGCATGAATCCTCAATATGATGATCACTGGGTAAGAGATGTCTCAGCCACAAGATTAGCTGCAAAGCTGGAAATAAATTGATCTACAATGAATGACTACGCGCCCGTTAGAATGCCAATTTAAAAAGGGAATGCAGTTGAAGGACTTACGAATGGTCGTGATTGTATGTACTATGATCCCTGAATTTGTTTCCGCAAGTTTGAAACAACTGAAAAATGCAATGAAATGTTTGATTCAATTGTGGGATGTCTAGCGATTCTGACATACGTCTATGATAGATGGGGGGAAATGAATATAAGTATGAACACAAATAGGAAAAAAAATCGTACATAACGGTCCCATGGAAAAAATGTTACTTGAACAACGGGGCGTAAGGAAGCTTGGCCGAGTTGTGGAACTAGTAGATAACACACTTATATTCTGAAATCCAAATCCCAACAGGGCAAAGTAGCGTAACACTATCCAGACGGCTGTAAAGATGTTTAATTTGTATCCCCATATTAAATGAATCTAAAATATCGGTGTTTAGGACATTTTTTGTAGAGCTACTAGAGCAGTCCAGTAAACAATCTCACTTCATTGTCCAGGGTTAAAGCTAAGAGTCGAATCGTCAGTGGAAGGAACGTGAACCCTCAGAGAACGAACATACCATGATCATACATTAACAGTATAAGAGCGGTAATCAGACAAAACTTTTGTGGGTCACTGCAGCATGTTGTTAGCACTCTTAAACATGGAAGATACTGTTTCATTGCGCGACGTACTATAGAAGTCGGAAAGGAAAATCTGGATTGATATGCGGTATGTCTGAGGACGGTATCATCCGGGGAGAATACGGAGGGGTAAAGAAAGTGGGTTCAATGTCCTCATTCTGTCTGCAGTTATGAGCAGAACAAGACGGATCCCCGGTTTTAGCGAGTAAATTAGATCATATCTATGGGAAACTTGAACGAACTGCACTGCGGCAAATTCCAAGCGGTTATAGGCGTTTATCAAAGTGGATAGGTCCCCTTTTGGTACTTTATAGGGACGACATAGTTACGCCGGTTAATAATAATACGGACGTGTGTAACTATACTGTTGCGGGAGAACCTTAATAAGTCGGCGGGCAACGGAGACCAATTACCTATAGGGCTTTTGAGTCGGTAGGAAATCGAATCCATATACCACAGCAGTCTCCCATCAACTGCGTATACATATGGCTTTCGATTCCCAGCCAATGCCTAATAGATGAAATATCCAACGGGAGGTTTGAATACTTGAGAGCCATCAAGCTATGTATATGTAGTATGGCTTCCTTACCGCTCGCTTAACTTTTGCTTCGCAGCATCTCGCACTGCAGCATCTCGCATGCCGTCTCCGTCTGTCTGCCAAAACTTTCCATATCCAGGTCTGGAAAACAATTCTCTTGGCATCGTATCGATATCAAAGAAGGACGGCCACCTTTATGATCTTCTTACCAGTCATATTGTAAGTACCTTTCCTATTTACAACCTCGCAAATCAATAGAGATAATGATTCAGCGGAGATCGCAGAAAGATGAATGAGGCTTATCTATATTTCTTTGGTACAGGATTGACACTCATGTAATCGGGACACTAATAATTGGTACACAGATATGGCATTTATGAGGCATACCGACTCCAAATCAGATGAAATTTTAACTCATGGTCCTGAAAGCATGTACGAGAATCGCGATATAGTACGCCGTTTAGGATGGTATGAAGCGCGAACTGTGTCTGGCAGGACATGTTTATATAATAAGCTGTTCCAAAACTGATCAATTTGCCGTTCAAGGATAATAAGAAGGAAGCGTATCATACGGAATAAGTCTATTGATTTGAGCCAGCAGCGGGAGCTCTGTGCCAATATGGCTTCAACATAGGACGCTTCCTATTCAGCATGTTCCAAAGTGCGTATGCGTCCCGTGGCAGATATCGATCTTGGATGCAAGGTATCGGCATCGAGCTCGAAGAATTCCCCAAACGCATTGATACTTGTCAAGGCAGGTGTCCGCGTATAGGCGCATATGGCGTTTTCCTTCTCCGCTTGTTTTCGAAGTTGAAGAACAATCCTGCATGCCAT